TTATTTATTATGTAAATAATTAGCTTATAGTCTTGGATGTGTGAGTAAAAATAAAAAATTATAATTTATTTCTTTGTTTACAAATGGATAAAGGCCAATAAATGATTGGAACAATGAGGAGAAATGGACCATTATACTTCTCATATTTTGTAATCTTCACTGCTATCAATTTTGATCGATTAATTTTCACCTTTTCCCCTTCTTCGTTGGTCAAAACAATTAAATTTTGATAATTGATATCTCACTTCTTTTCTTATCCTTCCATTTATACTATTTATCCCTCCTCACAAATACGCTTATAAAAAATATCATTTAGATTAATTCCCTTGCCAATACAAAAGTTCTTTCTTTTAATCTAAAAAAGATGCATATTTTTGCCGCTCTTTCAAATTAAAAATCCATTTCAATTCTAGCTATGGAATGGTCTGTCGGCGGCAAGGTCTGGTCCCCGCACAATCAAGATAAGAGCTCCTTATCTCTTGCACGTGCGATGGGTTAGTACGGAGACCTCAGGCAAAGTGCATCCTCAAGCTCTTTAATATATAGCAATCGAATTCATCGAGAGTTCGAAAGATACAAGACTAGCCACCAACTCCAAGCATCCTTAATGGCGGCCACACCGATAACAACCGTACTCCACTCACTTTGTAGGCCCTTGTCTCCCAGCTCCAGTTGGCTTGGAGGAAAAGAATAGATGTTTATTTCCTTTCTCCTTTTTGTTCAAACAATATCTTAGAGATGCAAGGAAGACTCTAGTTGAAGCCGCAGAGATTAAAATTGAAACCAGAACGGTGAATAATTAGTTTGATATGCTGATTAGGAAAATTTATTGTGTTTTTAGTAAAATTTTAGAGTATTTTCAGAGTAATTATTAATAATGATTCTAAAGAGAAATTGCATTTGTATTCTTAAAAATTAATAAAAATATATTTTTATAGTTTACTTGTACTGTTTCTTCTTTCTATATAATAACCATGGATAGTTATTGTGGAAATATATATATATATATATATATATATATATATATATATATATATTTCACTTTGAGTCTTTTTGACTAGTCTATGCAATAATTGTTTTGCGTCTTTAATTTAACTTTTCCATAAATAAGTTGTTTCAGTCTTTCAGAGTACTTTTGATCTTTGGACTACGGTGTCCAAGTGCAACTGTTTGATAAAATATTAGAATTCAGGATCGTGCTGAAATTGGAGGGCGCTTTTTCTTCTTCTTTGCAATAAAATAGAGGAAAAATATTTAAACACTCTTATCTTTTTAAATACGATATATAAATAAATTTTATTTTTAAGAATCAATCAAGAATGTTTTTGAGAAGAGAGGATTCAAATGGCCATCTTTTAAGAGGGAAAGTCAATTTTCTATCTTTCGAGGGCTAAAATTATTAAGAAAAAAAAAAAAAGGGAAGTCTTTTAAGGTAAAAGGATTCAATTTTCACTTCTCAAGGATTAAATTTTAAGTTTCTAAAGAAAAAAGGGATTAAATATATTATTTCGGGAACCGTGCCACCGCTGCCCCCCTGGATCGTCCCTGTAGGAATTTACAGTTTTTTATAATTATTTGTCCATTCTCACGCAATTTTAATTTCAATACACACAGTAGTTTTTAAACTATTTGCAAAAAAAAAAAAAAAATTAAATTCAATTAAAGGGAGGATTAGTGCATGTAAATAGCATTCATTGACTAATATTTTTGGCCATTTGTTTTAGAACAAAAATGAGATATTATCACTAGAAGATACACTAATCGTGTAAAAAAATATTATCTTATTTTTTATTTTTATTTATTCTGAAAAAGTTGTTTAGGTAAAATATTTAAGTCAAGTATTTTACAATAATACTCCTAACAGAAATTCATTTACAAAAGAGGTATAATTAAAAAAAAAAGATATTTTTAAAAAGTACATATAAAAACGACAACATGACATATTAACTGTTGATATTTTAACCTGTATTTAAAAAATAGAGAATAATAAAAAACAATAATACCATTATTATTTCCATGCCCTTTGCCTTCCCCCCCCCCCCCCCCCCAAGGTAGATAATTACATTTTGGTGTCATTAGAGTTTCCATTTTTCAAGATTTGCTTTTTTTACATTACGTAACGTACTCTTCTAAGAATTAGAGTCGCTGAATTTAATGCTCGGTACAGTAATGAAAGAGAGGTGATTAGGCCTCGTGAGGTACACAAATTTTGCTCGTTTTTACACTCTGTAAGCAGGGGCTATCCATTATTGCTGACATTTACAGATTGATTGCTCCATGAGAACGATATGGCTTAATTTCCTGGTTTCGAACTGTTTTTGGTATGGCACGCGGGCTCTGAAGATTAATCGGTTTATCTTTATCTTAATTGCGGGAGACCAGACCTGAAAGGACACAGTCTAGTTTAATCCTATCAGAGTTGTTAGATTTTTCAGCTTTTTCATATATGTTTATATTCATTCCATTTTTTTTTCTGATTACAAGGGAAAGAATGGAAACCGATATCTGTTTATGGGAGAGGACTATCTTCGTTCTATTTAAACAAATGAATGAGATTTGGATTTGATAAATTTTACAAAGAAAAGAGTGGAAATCGAGATCTATTGAATGAATTGAGAGGACTATGTTCATTTTGTTTAAACAAATGAGTGAGATTTGAGTTTGATAATTTTTTTATATATACATATTTTGCAAATGGGTAGTATATAAGTTATATATTATACCCATAATAGATCAAATAAAATTTCAGATTAAATTTTTTGTTTTTATATATTATTATTATTAGTTGTTCGTGACCTATATTTATATGCTTGTAATAACAGCTTATTCCGTCTTCTAAATCTTTTATCTTGCATCCAATATTTAAGATAATTTATTAAATTTCACTAAATATATTGCATCTATGGTCTATGAATTAACTTTTTACATTAAAATTATCTTTTTACACAATTACTAGTTGTTCGTGACCTATATTTATATGCTTATGGTGATAGATTATACTGTCTTCTAAATCTTGTAGTCAATATTTAAGAAAAAATATTAAATTTCTCTGAATATAATCGATGAAATAAATGTTTAGATGAAAATGATCTTTTTGGTACAATTACTAGTTATTCGTCGTATGTGTTTATATTTTTGTAATGATAGGTTATATTGTCTTTCAAATCTTGTAGCTAATATTTAAGAAAAAATATTAAATTCTTCTAAATATATCCTATTGATGATAAATCAAATAAACTTTTAGATTAAGATAATTTTTTTTATATAATTACTAGTTGCTCACAACTTGTATTTATATGCTTGTGATAGCAAATTATATCGCTTTTTAAATCTTGTAACCAACATTTTAGAGAATCTATCAAACATATTAAACTATATTAATTATATCGATAATAGATCAAATAAACTTTTAGATTAAAGATGATCTTTTTAATACAATCACTAATTACCCATTATCATACTTATATGCTTGTAATATCAAATTATATTGTCTTTCAAATCTTATAGTCAATATTTAAGAGAATTTATTAGATTTTTTTAAATACATTAAATTGACATGAAAATTATTTTTATTTTTTTAATTAAATCAGTGTAGATGTGTACTTTTAAAATTATTATTGATACCAGGAATTCATAATGTCATCCAACGTGTTTGAAATTTTGTGGCGACGCATATAAGATTAGAGAGGATTAATGATAGTCAAAATAGGAGGGAAAGGCTACTCATAGTTGCTAACCTAGTAACAATTTCTCATGTGTGTAATGTGTTAATTTTACATCTCTACTAGTCTATTTTGATGTTGAAAACTACAAAGGCATCACTCGCTAAGAGCATTACACATGGCAAATCGCCATGTGTTAACATCATCTTTCAATGGTGAAACTATCCCATTTCACATTTTCAATTTCAATTGCTCACGTAATCATAATCATATTGAACACAGCTTAAATCCAAACAATTAATTAATAAATTTGACCTCCAATTATCTAATTAAGACCAAAACATTGGAGCATGAGAATGTACGTATTTGCTAATGTTTTTTTTTTTTAACAAATATTGATTGTTAGCTTTTTTTTTAATCAGGATTAATATTTAAATACTGTTAAATTTGTTATTTTCATTGTTTGTTTTTTGTTTTTAAATCACCAACACACATTTTTATTGATGTTTGTTGCTATATATATATATGCTTATCAATATTTTTGTCTTTTAATTTCTTTATTTTTTCATTCACATTTAATTTTTTGATATTATTTTATATAAAATATACTTAACGAGAATATAGTAAAAAACACTAACTAGGAAAATGTATTAATAATTTTTTAAAAACAAGCAGCGAGAATAACGAATTTAATAGTAAATTTGACACAACAACAGTTTCATTCCAAACAAACAGTAAAAATTGAATTTCTAACTTTTTCATAAATACTAAGATGCCACCGTATTATCATAAACTTTTTTGGATGAATTTATTTTTTATATACGTAAACCGACACAAAAATATCAATTCATCATCTTGATTTTTTTTCTTTTTTTAAAATGATTCCAAGCTTTACACGGTCTTGGAAAAAACAATTATTCTGTACCACCAAATTATTACTTATACCATTCTGGTGCAAAATTGGTAACAATTTAATATAAGTGGGTCATGAGACAGGATGTATAGTATTGTAATTTTCAATAATTTCTCAAGGTCTTGTCCATGCCATGTACGACGTACTTGCGGAGCTGGCAATGCACGTGGGTCGAAATTAGTGGACTAACGAATCTGACGGGGAAGGAGTGTATCGTGTCGGCGTATTTGGTAATCAAGCAAATATTTTCGCGTTATGTACACGTGGCGTAAGAGGATTCCAAGGGCGCCCAAAATTATCCTGCTTTCTTTTTCTTCTTTGGATATGTCTATATATGGACCTGATCCATCTCTCTCTTTTGGAATAATCGTGTCCTCCTTTCTTTTTGGTGAAAAGAATAATCAAAAAGGCAAGAGAGCTAAGAGATGGAGGATAATAAAGTAGTGGTGAAATCGTCATCAAGATTTAAAAGGGTTTGTGTGTTTTGTGGCAGCAGTACCGGGAAAAGAGACTGTTATCGTGACGCTGCTCTTGAACTTGGCCAAGAACTGGTATAACCATTCGAAAACTTTTAAGTCTCTTTATGATCTTAACTAGTCTAGTAAGAACTCCAAAAATATTGGGCTTCTTTTGAATTTTGATTCTATGTGAAGGTCTCGAGGAGTTTGGATCTTGTTTATGGTGGAGGAAGTGTTGGATTAATGGGGTTAGTGTCCCAGGAGGTTCATCGTGGCGGAGGACATGTAATAGGGTACGTATAAGTAGCCATGGTGCAAGCTTTCTTGTTCACATAATTTCATTTTCTTGCCCAAGAGTGCTAATCTATAGTGCTATTTCCTTCGTTGCTTTCTCGTACAGGGTCATCCCTAAAACTCTGATGAGCAAAGAGGTATGCAAATTAATTAGGATTAGGATTCTTATATTATTGTCTTTTGCCGGTCTGTCTTAATTTACTAATCAAGGCATGATTAACATGCTTTGTTTTCGGTATGTGCAGCTAACAGGAGAAACGGTAGGGGAGGTCAGGCCAGTAGCAGACATGCATCAGAGAAAAGCTGAGATGGCCCGCCATTCTGACTGTTTTATTGCCTTACCAGGTGTCTGATCTTTTTCTTTCTTTTTCTTTTTTCTTTTTTTTATATTTTTTGATTTATTGGAAGTTCATTGGTTTTTGAACTATATAAGGGAATGGTATTCTCGTTGTACAATCACTAAAAACAATTAGAATTACTAAAATTCTAATTATGTTTTACTAAAAAACTAATTAGATATACAACTAGAATAAATCTGTTTGGTTTTTTTTTTTTTTCTCTCTCTCTTCGAAAAATGTATATCTGATGATTATATATATTAATTAAACTAGGTGGGTATGGAACTTTGGAGGAGTTATTGGAAGTCATTACGTGGGCCCAGCTTGGCATTCACGACAAGCCTGTAAAGCTACTTCATGTCTTAGCCTTGGATAAGATTCAAATTGAGAAAGTTGGTGTCAATTCTTAACTTAGTTCTTGACATAACAGGTGGGTTTGCTTAACGTGGATGGCTACTACGATTACCTGCTGACTTTTATAGACAAGGCTGTGGAAGATGGGTTCATCATGCCATCTCAGCGTAGTATTATTGTCTCTGCCCCAGATGCTAAAGAGCTTGTCCAGAAACTTGAGGTAGGTACGGTGATCGATCACATTCATTTGAATTTTTAGAAATTAATATAAAATTATTTTTATAATCTCATTCAAAAATTTAATTTTTAAAGTTGAAATAATCATTTAATATAATATCAAAGTATTAATGATCCAACCTTAAACTCACTGCTTTTGTTTTTTGTTGAAAGAATCTTTTAGATTATAATATAAAATTGTTTTTAAATCTCAACCCAAAAGCTTTTTGATTGGGATGATCTAATTTATTTCTTTTATGGGTTTTGATTTAATTTATTTCTCTCTCATTTGGGCAGGAATACGTGCCTGTGCATGATGGAGTTGTTGCCAAGGCTAAGTGGGAGGCAGAACAAATGGAGCTTAATGCAGCTTTGAGAACTGAAATTGCTCGTTAATTTTTAGAAACCATGTGAAAGAGGTTTTTCATTTTTCTTTTAGGTTTTTATTAAAATTATCTAGGGTTTTCTCCTTCTCAATTTTGTATGTATTGGTCTGGAAAGGAAAAGGAGAATTTCCATTGCAGAAAAAAGAAGAATATCAATTCGGTAGGTAGTCGTTAGCTTTATTATGTATTGAACAAAAATGGCAAATGTTGTTTTCTTACTTTCTAAAGGCTGGCAGTACGGACGGTGGACCCTTCAAAACTTGTGATGAACACCTAGCTAGTACTTCTGTACTCGTGTGGAGGGAGTAGGGGTCACAAAAAGAAAGATGGATCAGTCTGAAGCATTTTCCAGATAAGGTTATAAAGGATTAAATTATAAATTAATCCTTCTAGTTTTAAGAAATGAATCAATTAATCCTTTTTGTTTCAAAAACTATTATTTAGTCATTTAATAATATTGATTATACTTAATTTAATACTATTTTTTTATAAAATATTTTATTTTCTCATCAATCATTTCATTTTTTTTTTCTATTTCTTAAAAAAAAATTACAAATTATAGATAAATTTAAAAATATAAAAATTAAATAATTAGTTTTTGAAACAAGATAGATTAATTTATAATTTACTCATAAATGTTAGTAAAATTGGGAAGAGAAGGTCTAAAAATGGTTGAAAGGGACAACAATCCCAGTTCTTCTTGTGTCTTGTGGTTCGGTGTTGGTTTTCCAACCCAAGAAACACTGGATCGAAGATTGGTAGCAGCATGAGTGAAAAAAAAGGGACAACAATGATGGAAAATCATGACATGCAATGATTTGAAATATATATTTATTACTACGTAGATGTCCATGTTTAATGTGACCCAACGTTATATTATATTAAGATTAATAACCTTTTTTTGTTTTTATATAATAAGTTAATTTTTTAATTTCTCATTAAAAAAATTATAATGTCTTTATATTTTGAATTGATTCCTAATATATTTTTTAATTAAATTTTTTGATTAAATTGAATAAGTAATTTGTACGTGTTATATGATTTGAAAAAAATATTTCTATCATTTGATACAAGTGATTTATACCTACTAATATAAAGATTAATTTTTTAAATTAATTGAGATTTTTGGTTAAAAAATAAATTAGAAATCAGTTTAAAATATAAAGACAGATTGGAAACTTTAAAAAAAAAAATAAATTGAAAAATTGACTCATTATATAAAAACAAATGAGTGTATTAACTAATTATATTATTGTGGATTTAGCAAGTAATCTACACATGTTATGTGATTTGGAAAAAAATTATTTTTGTTATTTGATACAAGTAATTTGTATCTATAAATATAAACATTAAAATTTTTAAATTGGCTGAAATTTTTAGTTAAAAAAATAAATTAGAAATTAGTACAAAATATAAAGAAATATTGAAAATAATTTTTTTAAAAAACAAATTGAAAATTTGATTTATTATATAAAAATAAATGAGTGTATTAACTCATTATATTATTATGAATTGATGAATATTGGGTCAATATATCGAAATTAGTTTGATTCGCATCTTTTGCTTAATTTAATATAAAATTTTGAGTCCAAATGTGTCCACACACGTATAAAAATCTTATATATATATTTTTTTAAATTATTATCTGGTAGATTAATAAAAGTTGTTCAAACGTGTTAACTCACACACGTATTAACTCATTATATTATCATGGATTAATAAATATTGGGTCCACCATATTGAAATTGGTTTGATTCACATCTTTTGCTTAATTTAATATATTTTTTTCAGTCCAAACGTGTTCCCGCATGTATAAAAATCTTATATTTATTTTTTTCTTTGTCAAATAATTATCTGAATCTGATAGATTAATAAAAGTTGTTCAATCTCTAAATATATGTTAATAAATTGTAACTCAATTGATATTAGTTTTTTTTTTTCACAATAAGTCTTGAGTTAGAAATTTTTCTTTGTAATTTAAAAAAAAAACTTCAAGATGTATAAATGGTTAATTGCCTCAATAAATGTTAACGACTTCTTTTGTTGCACGTCTTGAAACACATGACAGTGTGTTTTCTGGGAACCACTTCTATTCTTATCCAATCGGTGCTCTATCCATAATCCATTGATCAGGCAAGCTACCACGATAGCCTTTTTATCCTCCAGTAGCTCCAAGAATCTGCACATGATCTTTCAACATTCTTGGGTTTAAATATCCCACGTCAATCATATCTATCTCATATTTATAATTATTATTTCTTTTTCGCTGATAATCAGCTATTATTATTTTTAATAATGTTATATTTAAACTGATTTGACGTACATAATAATTTAATAATTAATTAAAAACTAAATATGTTTTAACGTTAATTTAGTTTATCAAATAATAAATTTAATTTTTTATTGATATAAAAACTGATTTAAAAATAATATATATATATATTATTTGGTCATGCATGACTTCATTTATCTAAGAAACAAAAGCATGTGAGCATAAGAAACATTACTTGTGCCGTAGAAATCAAAACAAGGACATGAGGTGATGGTCATTTCCAACAACTGAAAAATATCTCTTTCAACAGAGAAGAGAAGACAGTCCGGCTAAATCATGGTCGGTCCACAACTCTACGATCTACATTAATTGGGCTCACACGTCCGTCATCACGAGTCTACACCATGAATTAATTAGCTAGTACATGCACTTGCGAAGGTCGCCAGCTAGAAATATGTGTCCTTACAACGTGGACTGGCTAGAGATTGTTCAATTATTATGCCCCAACACAAAAGGAATATAAATTGAAAATCAATCTCCATCACGACAAACCTTTTTCTTTTTTCTTTTTCTTTTAAAAAAACGATAGATTAACAGCGTTGAACACTTTCTGAGCTTTTTTTTGGTTATTATTTATATATAATTAGATATCTTTACATATCAATCAACATGAAATCTATTAATTTTTGAAATAAATTAACATCAAAATATGATTATTTTTTAAGCCAAAACATATTAATTTCAATATCATTACATTTTAACTAATTATATGTAAATAATAAAAATTAAATTTTAATTTGGATCGAATTAAAACAATTTTTTTTACTGTTGGATAAAATTATTTGATGGTAGTACTTTTTGAGTTTTACGATTAAAAGTGATTCAAAGATAGATAAACCCACCAAAATCAAGTTTTCTTTTACCGTTCAAACAAAACAAGTTATTCACAAATCTTATATGTTCTATATGCTTATTTATAATTTTTTTTATTCGAAAAATCTGTTCCAATTAAAAATACAGGTTTACCAACTCATTTTACAAACGGTTTTGCAGACTTTTCACATATGAAAAGTTTTAAGCAATATAAATTTTGATTTTTTAAAAACAAAAAAGAAACAGGTCATATCCCCAAACCATGATGAAAAAGAGATTACGCTTCTTGATTAAGAGCTAATCTCGTCAAGTCAGCATTGGAGAAATATTAAATATATGGTTCCATACATTTTCTACAATGGTCCCCCACCATCATTGTCACAATCAAATGGGCCTGTTGGGTCCATAAAAGACGTATACTAAGAAGCGACTCATCCTACGGCGCCTACCCCCTACCCTAGATATGTATAGACCATAGAATTCTCCCACTCCCAGTCAATTGGTAGTATAATTCGGTCGTTGATGAGTCCAAGTACTAGAGCAGGAAGTGCACATGGTTTGACAAGTTGGCCATGACATGTCCCTACACAACGCTTTGATTGGTGCCAAGTCTCTCTTAACAGCTTTATTAAATGTTTGAAAAAGTTTGAAGAATAACACAAGCAGACTTAACCTACCGGTTATGTTTTGCTTGTATACCTAATTAACTTTTTTAGCAAAGAAAAGTTCAAGTTTTGATTATTCTAATTTCTTTAATAATTAGGTAATATCTAGAGCTATCCTCGTTGTGTAGCTCAATAGATTCATTGGACATCCGATAAATAAATAAAAAATTTAAGAATAAATGTTTAGATGGTTAGAAAGATTTTTATTTTTATTTTTTGAAATTGTATTTAGATTTAATTTTTATGAATGCCTTAGATTAATATAAAACACGTATCTTTAAAATTATTTGAAAATATATTTAATTTTGATTGATACCCAAGTTGATTGAAAAATAAATTATAAATTAGTTCTTCTCATTTCAAAAAATGAATTAATTAATCTCTTTTTAAAATAAAACTAATACTTAATTACTTATATTTTAATTCCGTCCATAACTTAGTTTTTTTTATCAGTTTTTTGTTAGATAATGATTTTTATTTCAAATCTTCTTTTCATTGATTCTTTATTTTTCTGTTTCACTAATTTTTTTCTTTCTTCTCAACCACTAATCTAATGAAAAACTCATAAAAAAACTATGTTATTGACCGAATTAAAACGTGATAAACTAAATGATTAATTTTTTAAAGGAAAAGGATTGATTAATTCATTTATCTAAACAAAAGGGACTATTTTATAATTTACTCGCTGACTTAAAGCCTGAAGAGTGAAGGATGCCTTTACCCTTGTTACCAAAAAAAAAAAAAAAGAAGAAGAACCAGCCCAAAGGACCAATTTAAATGCTAGTGCTAACGATTGGGTGGACCATGGTCCCCTCACCCTTTTTACTTATTGCGTATTGTACGATATCGTTCTGTAACATTGGATTATGGCCTTACATTGATCCATGTGGACTTAATGACTGAGGCCCAAATAGTTACACCAACCATGACTCATCAAATCAAACCCAAGGGTTACATTTGCTTGGTGCTAGTCCACCAAAAAGCTTTCGTTGTCTGGGCTAATTATGGAGAAGTCAATCTATTGCTCATCTATGGACCCATTTAGGTGGAATCTTTATAATTCCGACAGGAACAACCGACTTTTTCCCCCTTATCTTTCCCGTCTGTTGAAATAATTCCATATTTAAAATCTGATGTTCTTAGAATCCCATCCCTTCCTTCATAACAATGGAAACTATGCATAAAAAAAGAAAGAAAGACTAATTGGGAAAACGACTTCTTGAGTTTTCGACAAAATTCAATTTTACTCATGATTTTTCGTTTTTCTAATTTTGATACATCTAGATATCATATTAGAACGATTCTTTTTTTTTTTTTTTTTTTTTGATTTTGGGTCATCACTCATTAATATCAATGTTAAACCGAGATAAAATTCATTAATTACTTGGTTTGGAAATCGAGAAAGGATATTCAAAAAGAAAAGATAACAAAAATAGGTTTCATATCATTTTTATATCAGAGTTAATAAAGAGAAAGTGGTTGAAAGTATTTGAAAATAGATTTAATTTTGATTAATGTATAAACTGATTCGAGAATATTCTAATAAGAGTGTGCTTAAAATTACTTGAAAATAAATTTAATTTCAATTGATTAAACTCTTTGGAGAATATTGTTATGGGAGTATAATTAAAATTATATAAAAATAGATTTAGTTTTCATTGATGTGCAAACTGTTTAAAGAATTCTTATCGTGGAATAAGAAAAGAAAAAAATTGATACAATTTTCGTTGGATTTATTGTCATGCTACATTATTTTCTGCAATTTTATGTTTCATTACTCTATCAAACTGACTCCATGTACTAAACTTTTCTTTCTATTTTTTTTAACCATGATAGAAAGGAAATGAATCAAGGCATTACTCTTTACCGTATTCAAGAATATGGATCAACCTAGCAAACTCCTCCTCATCTCTTCTTTGCACTGTCTCCGACATCTTGCACACATGTTTGGATAAAACAACACTATAAGTTTCTACCTATTTAGTGCCTCTGACGATTGAAGTTAGGCTGAGTCCAGTTTTGTATTCAACTTGAGATAAGTGTTCTAAGAAAAAAGTCTAATAAGCTAGAAAATGAACAAAGATTCAGGTAATTAAGCCTGCCCAATCTGCTTTGAAAACATTTCAGGATACAGTACAGGAGAAGAGAGAGTCATGAGCAATTTAAATGGAATGGTATGGTATATTCATATTGATCCTAATACACTTGTATATTTCTGTATATTAACAACTATGGCAAAATTGTTTGCAAAATTGTATTGAAGGGCAGCGAAAGCAAAGGTGCCTGTCTTGAGAAGAGCATAAACTAGTGGCTGAGAATGTTGAGAAGGGAAACTCGGGATTTCAGTAATTTTCTGTAAATAGCCTCCAACTCCTCCACTGCTTCCTGAATGTTTGACTCTAATGCCTTGAGTCCTTTCAATACATTTTGCACTTGTACAGGATTGATGTCTTTGCTTGGCTTTAGGGCAAGCAATTCAGCATCTATCTTTTCCAATTTAGTGGATTCACCTTCGCATGATACACGTTTGGATTGAAATAATTTTGAAACGACAGACCAGCCATGCGAGCTTGATCTTGCCTTTGGCTGAGGCACCAAGGACAAGAGAGATTGGAAAATTTCGAGGCTAATTTCTTTAACTTCTCTTAGCATGCCAACCTCATCCACTGCTGAATTGCAGTTCTTCTCCATGCTCTTCAAAATTTTATACCATTTGCGGATTATTTTATTTAATTGTTTCCTAGACAGCAAATATGCTTCGACTTCTCTTGCAAAGCCAGATTCTCCACCCTTTCTCCTCCTGAGGGATGATTCAAGTTCCTGTAAGCATTCCTTCATTGATGAAAAAACATTTCTGGTTGTGCTGCACACATCCAACAAGAGCAGAGATCCATTCAACACCTCTTCTGCCCTTTCCTTGTGTTGTTCGTTGGAAAGGGTTTATTCGGTTAGTGGCAACTGAAGAAAATCACCAACACACTCATACAAATCTTTGAGGCCACTCAGCTTGAGGTAAGCTGAAGTGGAAATTGTTTGTGATGATCTCAACCTGTCCAATTGATCTTCAACACTCACATTTAGAGGATGATTCTTGAGGGCAAGCTGACAGAGCGAACATGGCAAGTGGCCATCTTATTTTTTAGCAGGAGAAGGCTAGTTACTGATGTTGATATAATTGATCTTGCGAGATGTTGTTCAAGAAGCTTCCTTTCGGCCTCTTATATACAGAACATGTAATAACAATAGGGAATGCAATGTATCCAGAATTTATTTGCTGTCATTTCATGTGACAAGTTTTCTGATCACACACCAATCAGCTTGAATTATCAATCATTTCCATCCATTAACAAATGCATTCATCTTTGATTGACCTATATTTTACGCGCACCACCTTGGCAAATTTAGATGCAAATAATTAAACAATAGGCTGTCAAGATTCCAGTTGCTCCTCACCAAGTATATCAGTGAGATCTATTTCCGACCCTCATGATCCATTTTGTATCCAAGCTCGAGAAAAATAAATAAGTGTATGGAAGATATGGGTACGATCCACTTGTGTGCATATATATTTTATTTGATTGATATCCTTATGTAGGGTGTCATGGCAATGAAGCTGGAAACAATTTTGTCAGAGGCCTAACATACTGTTCGTAGCAATGGCTCTTGACTTTGCCTCAGAATATTCATATTCATTCTGGATAATGATAATTTTTCTGTCTCCAACACATGGGTTCGTGCTATTATATCAAGAGTAGTGTATAGGCAGTACTCGTCCTGAAGTATAAAAATGAGGACTGTCGGATAAGGCAACACATGACAGCAAATGCAAGCATGGAGCTTGAATTGCTACTTCTTATTGGATATATAATATGGATGCTAGAGTTGTTTGGGAGACGGATGCTTCTTTTGTTTTCTTTTGATTAGCTGAGTTTTCATGACAACACCATAGTTATGAAAGGAAATGATTTTCATCAAAAACTTCTCACTGATCTTCCATTTCGTACTCATTAGTTCTTTTCCTTGATTCTTCTTGGTAATTACTAATTCCTATACAACCCTGTGCCTGGATAATAGTGTTTTACATCGAGTACAAAGGAAATATTGAGCTGTCAGCAAGTGCCTAATAAAATTATAAGCAACTAGCGGCTGAGAAGTACGCAGCCGTGCAGTGAGCATATAGCGAACTATTCTTTCGCCTTTTACTAAAGAATACCTTGTGTTCGCTTCAGACAGTGGCATGCGCCAATTTTTTAAGGGTTCTTTTTTTTGAGAGAGAGCCTGCCTGACTGTAGTTCAAAGTTTTGCCCCTAATAGATTTTAATGTTCAGAAACTGCAAACAAGAAGTGATTTTCAGAACTTCTATGATTTGACATATATATATTCAGAGTGATTTCGATACAATTGGAGGATGTTGAAGAGGGCATAAACTAATGATTAAGTGTACTGAGGAGGGAAACTCTGAATTGCAGTAATTTCCTAAAACGCATTCTAATTCTCTTCCTCCAGCTCCTGATTGCTGCTGCACTCCAAATCCTTTAGCCCCATCAATACATTTTGCATCTCTAAGTGGTTGGGTTCTTTCCAAGTCGACCAATCAATTCAGCATCCATATTTTACTTCATTTGAATCTAGCCTTCGGTCGACAAATGAAAGATTAGAAATTGCTGTATACATTTTTTGTGATGTTCATCGGAAAGAGCCTGTTGAATGAGGGGCAAGTGACGGAAATCATCAACACTCTTGCTCGTGTAAGTCTTTGAGGAAACTTAATATGTAGAATACAGATGAGGATATTGCTTCTTTTTTAAAAAAAATATAGCTTCTTATTCTCTTAACCTGGACAATTGCTCCTCTAACACCTTCGGTCAAAGGATCATCTCTTGAGGATAGACTGATGGAAAATGGATTTAGGGACAGCCATCTTGATCTTTCTTTTAGCAAAAGAAAGCAGTCCGATCCTGCAATGTTCAACTTTTAATTAGATGTTGGATGTCCTGGCTAACATCAATTTTATATATATATATATATATATATAGCAGATGGATGGACAGAAAGACTCCATCCTCCTCTAGAACTTGTAATTGTTTATCATGTTGTGAGTTGACAGTTCTGCCGATGCTTTGTCGCGGTTGGATCTCGAGAAGAGAAATCCCATAAAAGAAATCCTAAAGAAAAATATTTTAAAGACTTGTACGAGCACTTTGCCACCATGACTCCCAGACAGTTCACAATAGCAATTCGATTCAAATCTAATTATACAGATTTCGCAGATATCTTTATGTGAAGATGATGTGTTACAAGGTAATCGGAGTTTTTAGCATGCTTTTCAATTAAAAATTAATGCAGGAAGTGTGGATGATCTTGATGAATAATAATATTTACCCATCTGCTGAGAATTCATGCATGCATGACATTGATTTTAACTCTGGCCAGTTAATCTTGAAGACAAGTTGAAATTTGCTGAGGGAAAGGCCAATGGGTTATAAATTGATTATCCTGAATTATTGGTCAAAAAATAATTTCTAACTTTTTTTTATGATATAGGTTCACATCGTCTTTTCCATTCATAGTTAAATTTTTTAATCTTGTTAACTAATTTCAAATGACATAAAAGATAAATAGAATTATTAAAATAACGACACATCTTCTGTAAATCCTAAACCTTAAACACATGACATATGTTATTGTTTTACAACTTCTAGTTTCTCTCACTTGTATTTAATGTAAACTGAAATTGATTTATAAAATAAAAAAAAACTTAACTACATACTAAAAATAAATTGAGGAACTAAATCAGAAAAAAATAAAATTAAAGACTTTTTTATTGTTGAAAATTAATAGTTTAAGATGCTTTATAACTAATTACTGAAATCAAAATAAACACTTCAAAAAAATAAAAACAAAAAGGTGCCCAGAAATATTAAAACAAAATGGAGAAATCTCATTGATTATAAAATATTAAAATTATATATAAGGATAAATCGTCTTGAACATAAACCATTGATTATATATCGAGAATCTATATATATATATATATATATATATGCTCCTTACGTGCTAGTCTATCAATCAAGACAGCAAGTCCTTCAAGAATTCAGCCTTTTAACCCTAGTCAAACCTGAAAAATAAAAAGCCAAGAACAGTAAGCAATTAAGTTACATAGTTTAAAGAACCTGAAAAAGAGAAAGCGATAGCAAGTTTTACATACGAGCAATCCATCCTCTCAGAAATAGGGAACATAACATCTGTGTGGCACTTCTTTGGAAGTTCTTTGATTCGTGCAGCTTTTAAGCGAAAATCTTGAGGAACCATGTAAGCTTCAATGCAAAAGCAGACCACCTTTTGTCCCTTTTTGGTTTTCTTAGCTATTTCATTGAGCTTTCTGATGTTATGACAGCAAGCTTTCGGCGGGTTATGGGATAAACCACCCAAATACTTAGCACAGTATGGGAAGTAACCCCACACCGGCGAGCACAGTACTTCGTAAGGGTCTAGGTCATCACCGTCGTCGCAGGACACAGTACTGATCAATATAGAAGCCATGAGGACAAGTACTAGACTCCTAACAAAGGCAGCCATTGCTATGGGATTTTTTATTTATTATTATTTTTTTTCTTTCTTCAAAGAGTTGAAATGGAGTTGTTCCTGGTTCTGAAGTACGGCTATATATGTATATAGAGAGACGGACTAATTGGTTATAGAATAATCTGAATTTTTGGTTAAAAGAAAAAAAGGCCTCTGATTTTATTTTTGTTTGCAATTAAGTCATTTAGTCACGTTAATCGATTTCAAACTACTTTAATTAAACACATGCGAAAGACACATGTACCTATAAAACAATAATATCTATATATCTTTCATTTTATTTGAAATTAATCAATAAGATTAAAAAGATTAATTGTAAACCAAAAAAAAAAAAAAATTAAGTATTCAAATCAGAAACAATTTTTTTATTAACGGAATATTTTATAATCAATTACTCTTAATTTTTATCCTATGTGTGTAAATGTTTAATTAGTTGATCGAGTTTTATAACATTACTAAGCAGTGGTGAGAAGTAAATCGAGAATCAATGTAGAATCTTCATTTTAACAGATTTTGTTAGCTTAAATGTCGTCATTCTCCACGATTTTCTGACAATTAATGCTCCATCACTCCATAAAACAAAGTTTTCATAAATTCTAACCATGATAAACAAAAGGGGTAAGCTTTCTATATTTTGATGTATCGTTCTATCAATTCTAAAAATAAATTAATCTTTGAAATTTTTTGTTAAGGAAATAAAAATCAAGGTATGTATATTCTTTGACATATAATTCAAGAATATGGATCTTTCAACCCTAGAGGAGATCAAGCAACGATATAAAAAAAAATCCGAATTATTTTCTTCAGAATTGTCTTATTTGTTTGTTTCTATAATAAATCACTTGGCACAATATTTTAAGGATACTGCTAAATATGGCAATTAAATTGTTATTCCTACTATTTTTTCTAAAAAATTATCAATACACCCTATACTAATATGTGTTATATAATAATAATTGACAATTAATAAAGTGTGTATTAATAATTATATAGAAAAAAATGATAGAAATAATAATAATAATTATTATTATTTTTTTTTTTGTAGAACTTGCAATAATTTTTCTTTATGGTCAATAAGTGTTTATGCTCAGAGTATTTACATTAATTAAGAAGATCATTAGAGGTTCCTGAGAGTTAATTAAAGAATTGAATGCAGGTTAAAGTAATCTTATAACAAAATGAAAATCGTACTAAACTATAAAATTATTATGAAGGCTAGATATTAGTTAGAGGAGAGAGCGATGAGCAATTTAGATGAATGGTGTATGATATATTCATATTAATCTTCACTTGTATATTTCTGTATAACTACAAGTATGGAAAAATTCTTTTACAAAATTGTGAAAGCAAAGCTGGCCATCTCGAGAAGAGCACAAACTAGTGGCTGAGAATGTTGAGAATGGAAACTCTGATTTTCAGTAATTTCCTGTAAACAGCCTCCAACTCCTCCTCTGCTTCCTGAATGTTTGACTTTAATGCCTCCAGTCCTTTCAATACGTTTTGCACTTGTACAGGATTGATGTCTTTGCTTGACTTCAGGGCAAGCAATTCAGCATCTATCTTTTCCAATTCAGTGGATTCACCTTCGCATGATTTATGTTTGGATTGAAATAATCTTGAAACGACAGCCCAGCCATGGGAGCTTGATCTTGCCTTTGGCTGAGAAACCAAGGACAAGAGAGATTGGAAAGTTTCAAGGCTGATTTCTTTAACTTCTCTTAGCATGCTGACTGCATCGACTGCTGAAGTGCAGTTCTTCTCCATGCTCTTCAAATTTTTGAAGCATTTGCCGATTGTTTTATGTAATTGTTTCCTAGACAGCAAATATGCTTCAACATCACTTACGAAGCCAGAATCTCCACCCTTTCTCCTTCTGAGGGATGATTCAAGTTCTTGCAAGCATTTCTTCATTGATGAAAAACCATCGATGGTTGTGCTGCACGCATCCAACAAGAGAAAAGATCCATTCAACACCTCTTCTGCTCCTTCTTTGTGCTGTTCTTTGGAGAGGGTTTGATGGGATAGAGGCAACTGAAGAAAATCATCAACGCGCTCATACAGAACTTTGAGGCCACTCAATTTTTTGTAAACAGAAGCGGAAGTTGTTTCTGATGATCTCAACCTGTCTAATTGATCTTCAACACTAACATTTAGAGGGTGAGAATTTGAGGGCAAGCTGATAGAGCGAACATGACAAGTAGCCATCTTATCTTGTAGCAAAAGAAAGTTGATTAGTGGTTCCTGCTGTCGATACCATCGATCTCGGAAGATGATGTTCAAGACCACTTTTCTGGGCCTATTATATAGAGAACAGGAAATAACAATAGGAATTCATTCATCCAGACTTGCATTTGCTGTCATGTGGCAAGGTTTCTGACAATGCCAACTTTCTCTCATCATTGCTGTAGTTCAGGAAACATAATGCCAATACTATAATCTCCAACTGATTATAATTTTTCAAATAATAGTAGCCTGCCTCCTTGTGTCCAGACAGAAATATGATCATCACACCATAAGCATAATTTAGCAGGAATCTCATCATGTGAAATATACAAATCTCAATCTCATAATGAAGTTTTTGGAACTATTCATAATAATTGATTACATAATACAAGTTGTTTCCCTCTTCATTGACATGGTGCTCTACAATAGGGAATCAGCTTCAATAATTAAAGACGAAAAACCTATAGCGAATAGGTGGATCTTGCTGGATCACTTGTGTGCCACTGTGTCGATATTAGATGGAAACCATATGCTGTCAAGATTCCAGTTGCTCCTCACCAAGCTATTTCCAAGCCTCAGGATCCATTTTTTATGGAAGCTCGAGCAGAACGAATATATGTGCATGGCAGACATGGCTGCAATCCACTGGTGTGCATCTATATTTTATTTGATTGGTGTCCTTCTGTTGGATGTCATGGCAATGAAGCAGGAAACAATTTTGTCAGAGATCTGAACTAACTGATTTTTATTCATTTCATTAGCATTACAGAATCCAATAATATTAGCAATGGTTTTTCAGCTTTGCCTCTCAAGGAATTTCACAATAATCAAGCTACAGGTCAAATATATAATTTTTCTGTCTTGGGATACATCGGCACGAGCTAAAAATTTTGGATTATTTTATTGGCAGTACTCATCTTGAACTATGGCAATGATGAGAAGAAGCCAGTCTATGTCGGAAAATGCAACAAATGACACCAAATTCAAGGCTGGAAGTTTGGAATTTGAATTGCCACTTCATGTTCTATATATAATGGATGCTATAGGAGTTGATTTGAACAACTTGGAAGTTCCACCTGTATAATACATCATATCAGTGGAGACTTTCTTCTACTAAAGGGGAAGATCAAAGATGGATGCTTTTCCTGGAACCTCTAAAGCTACTTGTCATGTTCGCTCAATCAGTTTGCCTGCAGAATCTCATCCCCTAGCTCATAGTGTTAAGCTGCAGTTGGGAAGGTTGAGATCATCACAAGAAACATCCTCGTCAAATTGCCAAAGATTAAGTGGCCTCAGGAGTTTATACGAATGCGTTGACGATTTTCTTCAATTGCCACTCACTTGCCAAGCTCTCTCCAGTGAACAACATCAAGGAACAGTGGATGAGTTGTTGGATAGATCTCTCAGGTTGCTGGATGTTTGTGGCGCAACGAAAGACATTTTTTCACAAATGAAAGAATGCCTGAAGGATCTTGAATCATCTATGAGGAGAAAAAGAGGAGAATCCAGCTTGGCAAGTGACATCGAGGCATATATGATCTCTAGAAAAAAATTGAGGCAAGTGATCTCCAAGTGTAAGTCCTTCAGAAGTTTGAAGACAACGGAGAAGTGCATATCAGTATCCCAAGACAAAGACACCACCTTGGTGACCCTAACAAGAGAAGTCGAAGAAATCAGTGTTGCTGTGTTTGCATCCCTCTTGTCTTCTGTTTCTCTGAGAACAAAATCAAAGGGAAGTGGCAGCTGGTCAATTGTTTCAAAACTACTGAAGTCCAAAACTATAGTTGATGCCAATGAAATTGGGACGATAGATGATGAATTGCTTGCCTTGAAGTCAAGCAAAGATATCCGTCTTGTACAAGTCCAAAATGTACTGAAAAGTTTGGAGGCATCACAGTCAAGTATTCAAGAACTTGAAGACGAGTTGGAGTTTGCCTACAGGCTATTGCTCAAAACTAGAGTTTCTCTCCTCAACATTCTCAACCACTAGTTTAATCTTGGGCATTGTCTGCATCTGTCAGCTGTCCATTTACACAAATTTGTACCATAAAATTTTGCTCCTGATTGTATATACATAGTACAGGAAAACTTTTTAAAATACACAAAAATTATGAGTAACATTTACCTCAAACATGTTGCAATTTCCATTTCTCTCTGCCTCTCTCGACGTAGTTACCAAGTACATCAATCTCAGATGAGAATTTTGATTTATTTTAAAACTATTAATCAAGTATTTATCTAAGTTTTGTGGATTATTTTGTTATTTGATGATCTGTCATTTGTTATGGACTATTAAATTATGAAATTTATCTTTTTATTTTATATGAGAATTCTCTCTCAAATTATTTTGTTATTTTCTACTTTATGGATATAAAAATAATTTGGATATTTACTTTACAAAGAAGAAAAAATAATGAAAAAATTGAAAGAAAAAATTTCTTTCAAAAATAAAAAAAAAGTAAAATTATAATTTAATGGTTTAGGATAAAAGACACATCATCAGATAAATTATAATTTAGTGGTTTAGGATAAAAGACACATCATCAGATAATGAAATAATTGATAAAAATTGAATAAAACTATTTAATTGGTGGTTTTAAAAAACTTAATATACTTAAATAAAAAAATTAAAATTTATATATTTAATTAAAAAAAATATTAAAATTAATGTACTTATAATGCAATTATCCCTCTCCGTCTCACAGAGCATGAATCTTGAAATTCTTACCATACACAGCCTCGGCTGAATCGAAAATGACAGAAACTGTGAACTATAAAGAATAATTTTTAAAACAGTCAACGTTTCGTTTTATGGGCCCAATGAGGGAAGACACATGCCTTTTTTGGACCGTAAAATGGCAAATTGATTTTGGGCCACCATGTAAAACACTGGACAAATGGGCTGAAATTATTTCTTCTATGCAACCAAATGGGCTAAAAACATGGGCCTTAAAATTGCAAATCTGGGACTGATTCTATGATGCAAGTTAGAACACGACCCTCTCGAAAAAGAGAACATTGTATTTGTGGCTGAGGCTTTGATAAGATCATAAGACGTCGGTTAAACTGCAATTTTTCTCCTACATATTCATTAATTTTCCACATTATACCCAAAATTTAAAATTTTCGAATATTACCTCTAAATTTTTTTAAAAACTTCAATTTGATCCTTTACTACTAAATGACTAATAAAAAGACCACCATTTTCATATTTTTGTTGTTACTTATTCTTACTTTTCTCTGAATTTTTCTCTCTCAAATCTTCATATCTCACTAAAACATTTAAAAATCTATATAAAAAAAAAACAGACTATTTAATTATTAAAATTTGAGTTAGCAGTTCAACTCTTAATTTAGAATATAAAAAAACTTAACTAATGATCCCACACGCATTACTATTTTTTTAAAAAAAAATTATTTTTTAATAAAAATAACTAAATCTAACCACTTAAAAACGGTTAATGTTTTTAAAACTAAAAGGATAACATTGAAAAAATTTAAACTATAAGAGCAACAATGAAGTTACCCTAAAATGTCGATATCCTGCATAAAAATCTTAGGAAACTTGGAATGACTGGATATTGCATTGTACACGTAAACACTTCTCAAGCAACACCAAATTTATGGCTCTTTTTTAACCAACTTAGCACCCAAATCAAAATTGAACAAAGACTATAAAAATCAAACAAACACGTATAAAGCTTTGAACTGCCTTTCCCATCTCCTGAAGCCTAAAAGGGCTAAAACCCAAAGCTACAAGTAGAAAATTTGAAGAGATAAAGCAAAGACACACCACAGCGTCTGAGCCAGACATCATCAAATAACCCGAAAAAAACAACCATGGCATCATCAACAACAAACCCTTTGCTGTCTTCGAACTTCTTTGGTTCCCAAATCTTGCTGTCTCCTCCTACTCCTAAAACAACCAAATCCTCCTTATCTTTACTTTTGCCCAAAAATTTCCAGAAAATAGTGAGCAAAAAGAATTCGGAGTCTTTAAAATCCCTTCAATCACAAGCAACTATAGCTACTGCCTTACTCTTCTCTTCTTTAACCCCTCAAGCCCTAGCCGTTGACAACCCAACACCACCGCCTACTCCTCCTCCAGTTATTGAAGCCCAGCCCACAAAACCATCCAATCCTTTCGCTCAAAATCTTCTCTTAACAGCCCCAAAACCCCAGGATCGGTCAACCTCTGACCTCCCTGAAAGTAGCCAATGGCGATACAGCGAGTTTCTAAGTGCAGTCAAGAAAGGGAAAGTGGAAAGAGTTCGCTTCAGCAAAGACGGTTCTGCCCTCCAACTCACCGCCGTAGATGGCCGTCGTGCCTCCGTTATTGTCCCCAACGACCCTGACTTAATCGACATTTTGGCGATGAACGGCGTTGATATTTCGGTTTCCGAGGGAGATTCCGGTAATGGGCTTTTTAATATTATTGGAAATCTTTTGTTTCCGTTTCTTGCTTTTGCTGGTTTGTTTCTCTTGTTTCGAAGGGCTCAAGGTGGGCCGGGTGGGCCCGGTGGGTTAGGTGGGCCAATGGATTTTGGCCGGTCGAAATCGAAGTTTCAGGAAGTGCCGGAAACCGGTGTGACGTTTTCTGACGTGGCCGGAGCTGATCAAGCTAAACTGGAGTTACAAGAGGTTGTTGATTTCTTGAAAAATCCTGATAAGTATACAGCTTTAGGAGCTAAAATTCCTAAAGGGTGTTTATTAGTTGGTCCCCCAGGGACTGGGAAGACGTTGTTGGCTAGAGCTGTGGCAGGAGAGGCAGGGGTGCCCTTCTTTTCTTGTGCTGCCTCGGAGTTTGTTGAGTTGTTTGTTGGAGTGGGAGCGTCAAGAGTGAGAGATTTGTTTGAGAAAGCGAAGTCGAAAGCACCCTGCATTGTATTTATTGATGAGATTGATGCGGTTGGGAGACAGAGAGGGGCTGGGCTTGGAGGTGGGAATGATGAGAGAGAGCAGACAATTAATCAGTTGTTGACTGAAATGGATGGGTTTTCTGGTAATTCGGGTGTTATTGTGTTGGCTGCTACCAATAGACCTGATGTTCTTGATTCGGCTTTGTTGCGACCAGGAAGGTTTGATAGACAGGTTACGGTAGATAGGCCTGATGTTGCCGGTAGAGTCAAGATTCTTCAGGTAAGTTCAAGAATCTCAACCAAGTTGTTGTATTCCTCATAGAGAATGTATTGAGCTATGCAAATTTAGAAAAGGAAACAGGGAATAGAAGCAGCTTTTTTGTGTGTGTGTGTGTGTGTGTGCGTGCGCGCGCGCGCGCGCGTGTCATGTTTATTAAGAGGAAGTTTAAGACAGTTAACTCTGAATACTAATATTGGTAGTATAAGAGGATTTTCTGCGAATTGATGGTTTTCCTAGTCTAGTTATTAATTGGTCTGATGATGCATGCTGGATAAATTTGCCAAATATGATGTGTTTGTTTCTGGAGAAAAAATGGACTGTTTCAAATTGGTGGGATGATGGAATCTGGATAGTTTTGTCTGATAATGCATCCTAGAATCAGGTTGTATTGTAAGCCTGTCCCGTGTTCAAGAAACTCTTCTCTTGCTTGATCTTAGCATGATGAACAAATTTAATTTTATAAATGACAGGTGCATTCTAGAGGAAAGGCACTTGCAAAGGATGTGGACTTTGAAAAGATTGCACGGAGGACCCCAGGATTTACCGGAGCTGATTTGCAGAACCTGATGAATGAAGCAGCCATTCTTGCAGCTAGGCGTGACCTCAAGGAAATAAGCAAAGATGAAATCTCTGATGCTCTGGAGAGGATCATTGCAGGCCCGGAGAAGAAAAATGCTGTTGTCTCAGAAGAAAAGAAGAAATTAGTTGCCTATCATGGTAGATGCACAATGACCTGTGGCTTTCCTCTAGTTTCTTGCTATATCCCAGGCTTTTAATTTTTCAAGGCTAATATTGTGTGTTACTCTCCATTTGCAGAGGCTGGGCATGCTTTGGTTGGTGCACTTATGCCTGAATATGATCCTGTAGCCAAGATTTCCATCATTCCCCGTGGCCAAGCTGGTGGTCTAACATTTTTTGCTCCAAGTGAGGAAAGGCTCGAGTCTGGATTGTACAGTAGAAGCTACCTGGAGAATCAGATGGCTGTTGCACTTGGTGGAAGGTTAGTTACTGTTACTCATATCGATTGTCCAAGTGCCTGCGAAATTTTTTTAAGGCATTTGAATATCTTTCCTGCTCTTGAAGTGGCTCTTAGAGAGTGAGCTAGTGCAACAAATTCCCCTCTATTTGGACTTTTAAGTTAACTGCAAGCTTGATTTTTTGAGCTAATTAGACTCGATGCAAATAAGGGAATTGCAAGAGCTTTACCCTACCTTAGATGTTTTACTACTTTCGCACTGTATATGACAATTTCTTCTCCCTCATCTCAAATGCCAGGGTTGCCGAGGAAGTAATTTTTGGTCAAGACAATGTGACTACAGGAGCATCCAACGATTTCATGCAAGTTTCACGTGTAGCAAGGCAGATGGTCGAGAGATTTGGGTTCAGCAAAAAGATTGGACAGATTGCCATCGGCGGACCTGGTGGAAATCCTTTCTTGGGACAACAGGTAGCTTTTGTACTTGGATTTTTTTTTCCCCGAATTGCCTTTTCTATCCACCATTTCCTACTCTTCTACAACAAAAATATTGGATTTAGATCCCTCGTGTTTCAATCACAGATGTCACCCCAGAAAGACTACTCCATGGCGACTGCTGATGTAGTGGATGCAGAGGTAAGAGAGTTGGTGGAGTCAGCTTATTCAAGGGCCAAGGAAATCATCACAACTCACGTTGACATCCTCCACAAGCTAGCTCAACTTCTGATAGAAAAAGAAACTGTTGATGGAGAAGAGTTCATGAGCCTCTTCATCGATGGAAAGGCTGAACTATATGTTTCCTGATTGCAATTCTAAAACCATGTTGTATTATAAGTTTAACATACACACACAAAATCAATTACTTTGCTCTGTTAATTTTGAATATTAAGGCTAAGAATTTGTATAGGCGAGTTTCTGCTACATTTTTTTTTTTAATTATTACTTTTCCCATCAAGCTAAGACATTAAACCCGAGGATGTTATGTTGCCAAAAAGGGTGCTAATGGCCCTGGAAATTTTTTTACTATTAACAAACATCAAAACCCTCCAAAAGAATCCAAATGATTAATCAAAATTCAGAGGATGTGTCCTAATTGCATATTAGTTGTGTTTATGTTATAGACGTTTTTCTTTATGTGCAAAAACAAGAAACAATTAATTATTTCATTTCATTAAAAAAAAAATAGCGCAATGACCAGTGCAGTAGTATTCTTCTCCTCCCCCAGCCCCATTTTTCTCCGCCACCAGCCCCGCCACTATGGTACATTTTTGTGCAGAAACAACATTTCCAATTCTCATTCTACACCAACCCCACAATTATGATACAACAACCACAATAATTGATCTGGTTACAAAAAAAATAGTACAGAGTCGTGTTCTCGAGATCATCTTCCACCGCGTTGCTTTTTTCTTCTAGTGTAGCAGCCTCATTCAACATGTCAGCTGCATCCTTGTGCATGTCAAGCTTGGCAAGGGCAACGGATTGCATGTAAAATGCTGTAGACCAGTCAGGGTAGACACATTGTGCTTGCATTGCATCTCGGAGAGCAGCATCTGGTTGATCACATAGGAGATGGCAAAGACTACGCCGTGCATAAACAGTTGGAGATACCATTGTTCCCACATCTATGAACTGCACAAACAGAAAAACATGAGCTTTTGTCTTTCAAAGATGAGGTGTAGGGAAGCATGGAGAATCAAGTCCGTAAAACGACGACTCGCGTACTCAAAATGACTCAAGCATAGCCCACAGTTTGTAGTTGAGAAAGAACAGGCACTGTGTTGCCAGCAAATTATCAAGCATCCCCAGAACCATGCAAGAGAAATATACCAGTCCAGCCGAGAGGGAAATTCCCTAAAAGCCTAATGAATGAAGCATGACAATTAACAATCAACAGTAAACTTCATGGTTGAGACATCAGTAAATAAAACCAAAGATCTAAACCAACTCTCCCAGACTTTACCACCCTAGGCCAAAGCATCACAACCTGCCATTTTGTGAGAACCAGGATGCATAGAGCCAAAGTATCCTGGTAACTAGTAGTCTTAAATTCTTATCAACAACTACAAGCCTATTACGTCCTGAATAGTACAGCTCTTGCATAGGAAATCCATTTTCTCATCTACAGATAAAAGAGAACACACCTGAGAATAACATTCTACAGCAGTTTTAAAATCTTTGTCACGAAATGCTACGTCTCCACGCTTTCTGGCCTCCAACATATCTCTCATTTGTTGTGTCCACTCTTGGAAAGATAACTGAGCATATCCATGTAAAATTGAAAATTTCAACAGAGAATTAGAAATGGATATCATGAGAACTAAATAGATATCATGAAAAAGTAGTTTTTGTACAATTCAATTACCTCGTTGGTTCCTTCATCATCTTTGTAGTGCGTCATTACCAATATCTGATGAATAGCTGTGAGATCCATCCGTGAACAAGCATCACCCATTGGAGACAGAGGGTGCTGTGGGGTAGGTGGCGCTTCTTCATGCTTTGGAATTCCCAGCATCACAGAGGACAGAACCTGCAAGCAAAGATTTATGATCCCAAAACTGTACCCGTCTTACATGAATACAACCCGTCTACAATTCAGTACTACTCAAAGCTGCCTTAAATGCATTATCTAGGAAAACAACAAACTTCTAAATAGCAACAGAAAAAACAACCCGCTCCTGGAGAGAGAGAGAGAGAGAGGAAAATCTGGAGAAAGATAATAGCTGAGACAAAAACTACTTTACTAATGGCTAGATATCAATCAATAAGCAGGGCTCTATTCTGGAAACAAATCTAGTCGTTCAAGATTTTAACTAGCAACTATATTTTTGACCCTAAGTATTATCAGATTACACTGCAACAAGATAATCTCATGAAACAGAAGGGATGAAGCAAGCAAAGTAGGCAGCTTACATCAGGTTTATTTTGCAGTGGTGCAAGTGTCGTAACAAGATCCTTGGTATTTGGTCGCTCCCTTGGTTCATATTGCAAGCATTGTGAGGCAAGACCAAAAACCGCAGTCGCCTCTTCAGTTGAGAAGTTTCCCTCCAAGTGAGAATCCATTAAGAGAAGAATGTTCTTCCCTCGAATCATATCAAGAGCCTGCAAGGAGCACATAAGTCCAACTTCTGACAACAAATCTAACATTTAGCAACTAAAGTTTAGTCTGCCATGCAGGCCACCATCTTAAAGATATTCAATAATATAAAATTCCATAGAAAAATTAACATGATTTACTTCTATTGAAAAAAACACCATTTCCTGTCAATTTCCCGTTCTCCATTAAGCATTAGCATAGCATTAACAGTCAATTTATCTATTCAACCATTTAGTTATAGCATAGCAATGACAAAGAGTCCTCATGGTCAGAGAGCTTGGGCAGAATACGAACAGAAACAGGTTCAAAGCTCAAACAATGGAGCATTGACATGGGCTAGATATACCCTCACAGTCAGCCATCTTCAATAAAAGAATATTGACCGATACATCCTTACGCAACTCAATCTCCCACTCTTTGTTTTCATAGGCGAGAGAAGCCTGTGTAATTAAGAGAAAAAAGCAGTTGAGCATTGAAAACATGAATTTATCCCTTGATTTCACGATTTTGACAATAGACAGCAAGTCCAAGGCTCAGCCTAGAGTTCAGTAAAAATTATCCACACACATTGAGCAACAATTTTTAACTCCAGCTGCTACCTAACCAATCATATATAAAACTTGAGAGTAAGCACTATATTCTGATATTCACCACGGGATGACCATATGAGTTACTTACATGACTAGGAGGAATGTGCTTTCCACTAAGAAGATCCAAAAGCACAGTCCCAAAGCTGAAGATGACACTTTCCGGGGTGACCCTTCCTAGACATTCGATTTAGGTATTTGCATGTAGTCAGATACCAGTCACTAATACAAGCAAAAATGTAGATTTATATCAAAGAAAAAGCATTTACCATTTCTTAAGTACTCAGGAGGTGTATAAGCAAGATTTGTGCTGTAACTCTTTCCATCCCTACTATTTTTCATCAATCCAAAACATGAAAGCCGGGGATCTCCGTTCTGCCAAAACCATCCACTAGATTACCACTGTCCTCTTATAAATCCCAATAGATCCTCTAGATGACAATATCTTAAAACAACCAGAGATGTTAAACTAATCAAACCAAAGTTATTTTTTATCTTGGACAGACAGACAGACTAAATTATGATAGATAGTCAAGCTCACGAAAAGAGATAACTTACAATACCTCATCAAAAAGAACTCTGTAAGCGTTCAAGTCGTGATACAGTGGACGACCTTCAGAACTACAATGATCTAAAGCTTCAGCAATATAAAGTGCAACTCTCAAACGCATGGCCCACTCGATAGTTTGATTTTCCCCTGTCAAGAAAGTAAAGTAAAATTTTATTCATGAACTTGAAATGTGGCAATATTCTGGTAGACAATTTGCCGATGACTTTTGAATAATTGTTCAATTCAACTAAGATACCAACACTTTTCGTAAGCTTCAAATAAACAAATAGCAAGGAAAATTGTTACAGATTGATTTTAAATTTGGCAAATCCCCCAGCTCATACCTTCAAGTCACAGAAGTTTACGAGGAAGAACTAATTCCAGCTTATCTTTTTTTCTTGTTTCTAATCAAAATTCCTTTACACATCACAATTAATTTGAGGCATCCATGCAGGAATCATCTTTCATGATCAGAATTACATTAGCCGGACCATTGCCTCAAACACAAACAATTGCTTAATATATTCCCACAGAAGCAAAAGGAAACCTATCCCCTGCCATTAATCATGATTTTCCATTAGGGTTTCATATTCCACATATCCATAACGGGGATAAGAACGCAACATACTCATCAGCAACACAAAAACAAAGCTCAAGCACATTAGCTACACCGAGAACAAAATCGCATTATTATTACAACAAATTACAGCTTAATCTAAAAGTATTCAAGTTTCTTACCACATTATCCTACTCACTTCAAACAAATTACATTAAAATTTCAAACAATTCAATAAAAAATAATAAACTAAACTAAAACACCACAGAAATGAAAGGTGAGTAAATAATGTAGAAAGAATGCATATAATGCAAGAAGGTACATACAGTGAAATAGATGTTTTGCAAGGGTATCATTTGGCATATACTCAGCCACCAACAGCCTCTCATCTCCATCGCAACAATAACCAATCAAATTCGCTAGCCTTTTGTGCCTCAATTTCCCAACACCCCACGCTTCATCCTTCAGAAAAACAAAAAAACAAAAAACCCATCAATAAAATCAAAACCCCAGAATAAATTAGAAATAAAAATAAGAAAAAGGAATTCTTTTTACGTACAGCGAACTGCTTGGGATCAGGCCAGGCCAATTTGGTAAATTTCTTGACAGCGATCCAACTTCTGTTATTATTATTATTCTGATTCTGTAACCGCCCTTTATAAACAACATTGGGCGCTTTTTCACCGCTTTCGGACACGATAAACTCGGGACTAAAGTTGTTCGTTGCAGCTTTTAGGTCAGCAAATGAGAACTCCGTTAAAGACGACACGCCACCACCTCCCCCACCACCACCACCAAGACCACCGCTTGTTTCCGTACCGTTTGTTGGCTGTGAAGAAAGATTATTTCGGACATGATGCTGTTGTTGTAGTTGTTGTTGATTTTGCCGACGTTGTTGCTGTTGATTGTTTTTATTCTTATCGGAGTTTCGTAGTTTAAAAAAAGAAGACTGGCAACAACCCATAATAACTCAGCCCGAGTTGACTCACTACAACAGGGAAAAAAAAACAAAAA